GCTGTTACACAAAGCTGCTGCTGAAGGTGTAGCTGGAGGGTGAGGGGTGGGGTTACCTTGCTGCTTCTTACCCTTTCTGTAGGAAGACACCGCCCTCACCTGGTCAGGTTGTGAGCGTAAAGCTCGTACGCTCGACATTTTGTAACAACATCTTGAAGGGAGGAAGTGGGGTCAAGGGAAATGAGACGCTGAACTAGCTCTTCATCTCGGACACCCGTTAAGATAATTGTCTTCAGTTGTGTCTCTTCACAGACTTGAGAATGTCCGGGACAAACATCAACTTCCTCTGAACACCTTTTGAGCCTTACAAAAAATGCGTCAAAAGATTCTCCATCAAGCTGCTTACATTGGAGTAGTTCTCTTCTTCTGAGTGCTTCGTTGCGCTGTCCCTTAACGTGTTCCTGTAACTTGTCGAGCACGGCCTCTACTGTCAGAGTTGTTGTAGGAGGCACTTGAAGTGTGTGCTCGAGAGTACGTTGTGTCTCTAAGGACAAGCACATACGAAGCTGTATCATCTGTTTAGGCTGTGATAAACTTGACAAGTCAACCATTGTTGCATAGTCTTGCCAACGTCGACGCCATTCCCGAAATATCTGATAGGAAGCGTCAGACATCAGAGATGGAGACGTCTGTACTGCAGCCTTTTGAGGTGTTGTTGAATCGACTCTGGGAAATGAGGTACCAGTACCTCTAAACAGGTAATAGTTTCGTTAGGTTGAAAAATATTTACCAGTCACTACCAGTAAACAATGGAAACACGCACCACCAGCTGTGAGTGTCGGTACAGTTGCCAGGGAAGATCTCTTGCGTCATCGTAGCAAGCCCAAAGTAGCCAAATGCATGGTATGGTAGCACAGGACTATGTAAAACATAAAGTATTCATTTTTTTAAGTTATTTATAGATACATAAATTTTTGTTCATTACATTTGAAACATCAATCTTTGTTAATTAAATTTAAAACAAAAGAAAACTACGATACCGTATTTCTAAATACCGGGTATTTTCATTAAAATATTACATCACACGTATATTTTACCTTAACTGTGACTGAATGAATATATTCTCAGAAATAAATATGGAAATGTAATATTTTTGCTGAAATGACGTACATATAACAGTGGAAAGTGGGATAAAATCATGACGAAAACAATGACTTTCGCTTTCTTTCGTTGTTCAAAAGATTTTACCGTAATCGCTTTTCGAATGGTTTTCAGTTAAAAAACTGTTGTACAGTGGGGTATGCTATAATGAACGGATCCTACTACGAATATTCCTATAACGAACGGTTTTACCTATAAAATTGAGAATGCTATAACGAACGAAACTCCTACAATGAACATTATTTAAAAAATTTTTTTTTTTTTTTTTTTACTAATTTATTGTTTTTTTATTACAAGTATTAATGATATTCTTTATTTCAGGGGTTTAGATGCATATTTATGCACTTTTTTACAATTTTTGCAATTTTATATTATATATTTCAGTGTTAAGTGGTTGTATTTGGGGGCCTGCAACGGATTAATCCTATAACGAACGAATGCTATAATGAACAAGGTTCTAGAACCAATTAGATTCGTTATAGCATACCCCCACTGTATTACAATAATATTCTATCCTAATTCATTTGAATAAATACTATGATACTATATTTCTGAATATTTTCATTAAAATCCATGAAAATCATTTTCCTTGTCATCAGCACCAAACAGTTACTCCCAGTCCTCTCCTTGAACAGTATCGTCACATGGATCAACACCATCATCAGCCATAGGATCATCAATATCTTCATCCTCATTCACGCTCTCATTAGCCTCATAATCCCACAACAAGTAGTCTTCTGTTCCATCAAGAGCATTCGAAATCCCACATTTCTTAAAAGATTTCACCACAATTTCTGGTCTGATTGTGACCAAGGCTCTGCCATATCAGCTAGACGGTACACGTGTTTTTCGAATCGTTTACAGTTAAAAAACTGTTGCATCACAAGTGAATTTGGATAGAATATTATTGTAATACAACAGTTTTTTAACTGAAAACCATTCGAAAAGTGATTACGGTAACATCTTTTGAATGAAAGAAAGCGAAAGTCATTGCTTTCGTCAAATTCCACTGAAATACGTACGTCATTTCAGCAAAAATATTTTAATTCCATATTCTCAGAAATAAATAGTACAGAGTAGTTTAGCTGAAACGTAATGTATTTCAATGTAAATTAGGATAAACTACATGAAAACAAAAGACTTTACTTAACCTTCGTTTTTAATAGTTTTCAGTTAAAATACTGTTATATTAGTGATATTCTATTCATAATGTGCTTGATATAATACATTCACGGAAATGTAATATTTTTGCAACTACAATGCTGATGTCAACACAAGCGTGGTTACAGCGAGACTGACTGACTGAGGGAGCGCGGGAACGCGGGGTGGCACGGGCGATGTGTGTGTGGTTTCGCGCGCGATTTGAATAATGTATATCCCTTTGAATGTATATTCCTCCAGCGGCAATCTGCGTATTTGCAAATCCGTTAAGTTAAACCAGCGTCTATGTTTGTCTTTGATACCCCTAAAATGTTCTACACTACGGAGGGTATACGCAAACACTTGTTATCTTGAAAATAGGTTCTTATTCTCGTACGGGAGATAAATACAGAGGAACAAAGAAACTGGCTTCCACACCATACGGACTAGTGATCTCAACTCTCTGTATCACTCCGCGCTGGCATGTACAGATGCCAGCATTCACGAGCTGAATATATAATATATAAATATGATAATTCACATACATAACATGGTGCATAATAAATGGAAATATTACATAGGATTAATACATGTTCTGTAATACTTTACTATACATAATTAATAGAGTAATATAAGAATACACAGCTTAAGGTAATACTTAGGTGTCCATATTATACACCGTGTATGTTTAGGGCTGACTGTACAACAAATATACAGTACAGGTATACAACAAAAATACAGTACAGGTATCAAACAAATATACAGTACAGGTACTCTTCGATTTACGACCACCCGGACGTATGACAGCCACAGTCATATAAAATATTTTTCGAACTACGTATTTTCTAGTACCAAAACGTTTCTTTCCCGTACGGCAGTGTGGGCTGGGCCGCCTTGTGGTGTCGTTGGTGTTAGTGATTGCGCTGTATATTGACAAAATTTTCATTTCTAATTCCCTTTAAAATGACTGGCAAGCGTGTAAGTGAGAGTTCTGGTGGTGCTCAGAAGAAAAAGAGACAGTCAATTACTTTTGAGATGAAAATGAAAATTATAATGCAATATGAAAATGAAAAAAACGTTATCAACCATTTCACGCAACCTCGGCTTCTCTCACTCGACGATATCAACAATTAAAAAGTTATTGAAGCCACGTGTGCATTCAGCTGATTACATTAAAGGTAAGTGCAGGGTAACACTTTATTCATTTTTCATTATTGATTACTTTTACTGTACCGTATTTCATTTTAGAATTTCTATGTATTATTTTCGCATTTTCGACTTACCGTATATCACGGCCTATAAGACGAAATTTGAACATTAAAAAAATCTGCCCAAAGTTAGGGGGTCGTCTAAACCACCAAGTTTAAAATTCTTACCTCTTAAATATTGTGGTTTAGTGTGTCAAGAGTGGTGATGAAAACATCGTAAGCCACTCACAAGGTCTTACCACTAATTATTTTATACTGAAACTTACGTTTGGCAAGCTGGATTCAAATTAAGATTACCGGTATATTAAAATAATAAAAATGTATTATAAACCTGTCTAACATACCGTAAAAGAGATTTATACCCCTATAATAAACACAGCTATCATCACACACCCCTCCCCACGCCCCCCCCCCATTTGCCAGTGAGGAGCCGTGGAGGTGGTCAGTAATGCATACCGGTATCGGTATATTTACTCATAATAATATTTATCTCCTATAAATAATTGATTTAAATTTTATTTTTTTCCAAAGAATATTCAGTAAATGAGTGCATTAATTCTTGAAACTATCGACGGTTAATTACAGACGCTCAAGTGACGTCACTAGTGTTTACACTACACCAGCTGGTAATATTTGATGCCATTACTTGAAGTGAATTGGCCTTATTTTAAGTAACTAACTATAAATAAATACAAAAATTAAAAAAAAAGATCAAAACTGAGAAATAATATACTGTATGTATGTTGTGTTGTCAAAGTAAGAGGAACAATTGTGTAAGTACGTAATATTTTTTCACTCAAATCCTAATGAAACACTACTGGAGAACATTCCTTTGTCGCAAAACAGTTTATAAATTAAAGAAAATAATTACAGTGTGTTTAATATATTACAGTATATTATAAATAAATAAATAAAACAAATAATTCGGTAAATCTATTTAAAGTAAATGGAAAATAAGCAAACATGTTATTTACCAAGACCCTTCCGTCTGGCTCAGGGTGAGATGTAGGGGAGATAAAGAAGGCTATTTATAGCCCATCAGAAGTGACCAGTACCCTAATGCACCATAAATAATTCATTGAACATTCATTTTTTAGTATATATATATATATATATATATATATATATATATATATATATATATATATATATATATATATATATATATATATATATATATATATATATATATATATATATATATATATATATATATATATTTGTGTAATAAATGTATGTAGTAAGTACATACTGGTAACCTTTTTCACTCAAATCCTAATGAAACACCACAATTAGAATACGGTGGTTGCTGTTGAATCACATGTTGTATAAATAGTCACACCACCGAGACGAGGGAACACTCCCAACACGCTTCAGTGACGTCACTAGTGTTTACACTACACCAGCGGGTATAATTTGATGACATTACTTGAAGTGAATTGGCCTTATTTTAAAAAATCAAGGATGGTTGGTAAAGGACTACTGAGTCAGTGGGTAAGTGTCACATTTGGGGTACTGGTCTTATACAGCAAATAGAGCTCAAAAGCTACTTTTTAAATGGAAATTTGGGGGGGGCGTCTTATGCACCCTGCCGCCTTATAGGCCGTGATATACGGTATGACCTGGTCGTCGGTCCGGAACCCCAGCGAAAGTCAAGAACAGACTTACAGGTATACTACAAATATATAGTACTGTATAGGTATACAAACAATAATAAACAGTAAGTATATTTGACCAAGGATAACCAACACAGCCGTCAGATGATTATTTCCAGTTGGTCTTTTTTGGAAATAAGTAATCCATTATTTATACTTGAAATAATTCTTACCAACATGCAAGACCATGCAGTTCTCCAGATCATTTTTATGTAAGATCTTTCCCTACAACTTTCAAGTACGATTCCTCTCACCAGTGTGTACAACCATATGTCTTTTCAGATGGCTCATCCTGAAATAACATTTCCCACACTCTTCACACTTAAAATTCTTCTCACCAGTGTGTACAACCTTATGTCTCTTGAGAGCACTCTCTATGTAATAACTTTGACCACACTCTTCACACTTAAAATTCTTCTCACCAGTGTGTACAACCATATGTCTCTTCAGATGGCAATTTATATAATAACTTTGACCACACTCTTCACACTTAAAATTCTTCTCACCAGTGTGTACAACCATATGTCTCTTCAGATGGCCCTTTGTGGAATAATTTTGACCACACTCTTCACACTTAAAATTCTTCTCACCAGTGTGTACAACCATATGTCTCTTCAGATTGCTCTTTATGTAATAACTTTGACCACACTCTCCACACTTAAAATTCTTCTCACCAGTGTGTACAACCACATGCATTTTCAGATTGCTCTTTGTGGAATAACTTTTACCACACTCTTCACACTTAAAATTCTTCTCACCAGTGTGTACAACCATATGCTTTTTCAGATAGCTCTTTGTGGAATAACTTTTACCACACTCTTCACACTTAAAATTCTTCTCACCAGTGTGTACAACCATATGCTTTTCCAGATAGCTCTTTCCGTGAAAACTTTTACCACACTCTTCACACTTAAAATTCTTCACTCCAGTGTGTACAACCATATGTCTCTTCAGATCGCTCTTTATGTAATAACTTTGACCACACTCTTCACACTTAAAATTCTTCTCACCAGTGTGTACAACCATATGCATCTTTAGACTGTCCTTTCTGGAATAACATTTACCACACTCTTCACACTTAAAATTCTTCTCACCAGTGTGTACAACCATATGTTTCTTCAGATAGCTCTTTCTGGAATAACATTTACCACACTCTTCACACTTATAATTCTTCTCACCAGTGTGTACAACTATTTGTTCCTTTTTGTTATAACTTTTACCACTATCTAGACATTTATGAATTTTCTCATCAACAGTCACATGTTGTGTTACCTCATAGTTACTGTTAAAACTTTCATCAAACTCTGCACACTTAATATCTTTCTCATCAACAGTCACATGTTGTGTTACATCATAGTTACTGTTAAAACTTTCATCAAACTCTTCACACTTAATATCTTTCTCATCAACAGTCACATGTTGTGTTACATCATAGTTACAGTTAAGACTTTCATCAAACTCTTCACACTTAATATCTTTCTCATCAACAGTCACATGTTGTGTTACATCATAGTTACTGTTAAAACTTTCATCAAACTCTTCACACTTAATATCTTTCTCATCAACAGTCACATGTTGTGTTACATCATAGTTACTGTTAAAACTTTCATCAAACTCTTCACACTTAATATCTTTCTCATCAACAGTCACATGTTGTGTTACATCATAGTTACTGTTAAAACTTTTGTCAACTTCTTCACACTTAATATTTATCTCATCAATGTGTTCAGCCATACAGGTATGCATCTTCAAAGAATCATTACTGTAAAATAATTCACCACACTGTTCACATTCATAATTATATTGGCCACCATGTCCAGCTACTTGATTTATAAACTGGGCCATCTTTTAAACACTTTACAACACTCCATATAAGAAAATATTTCCTTCAGTGTACAGACGTTTGGGTAATTTTTGTACTGTATAAAAAAGTTATCCACTCTTCACAGTTAAATTTGCTATAATAATTCTGCACATGTATGTGGTTCTTGTACTAACTATTGTATGAGAAATATTTACCACAAGTGAACTTTTCTCACCAGTACACAAGCACAGCAGACAACCACTTGTCACATTTATATATTGGAACTTTTATCAGCAGTGTACACAAGCACAAGAGTCACAAGGTAGTTGTTTAGGTAGAAACATTGCAACACTCATCATACTGTAATTAGACAATATATAACACAGTGCACCACTTAACTGGTATTTTCAGGAGAAAGATTCACTTGTGTGAACCTTCTTTTTATTCTTGCTGTTTAATAGAACACCAACTTGACTTTAATATTTGTTACTTAAGGCTTGGCGAGTTGACAATTTACCTTACTCTTGCTTACAATGTTCTCCTGAAGATGTTCACTAACCCTCATACTGTACTGACTTATTGTACAGTTGTGAGGAATTGTTCTGCCTCCTGTTTTATAGAGCTTTAATACTAGGTTGTGGTGGAAGAAGTTTGTGTGGGATGGCCTCCTGATGCTACTATAATATTTCTTTCTTACATCCGACCAGTCACACCATTATGTCTGAAATAAAGTGAACTGCATTACAATGTTGAAGTTTTCAGAATTCCATAGTTGATAGAAGACTTACTGGTAGATACTTACCCAAGGAGACAACTTGGCTAGCTCTGTACTGTACTCAAATAGCCTTATTTCCCTAACTGGCATCACTACAGTACTCATTAACTGCAGGATTGACTGGGGATATTCTGGGTACTAACGACCAAAACTTAAGAATGAAGGTATACCCTGTATCCTCTCAGCTGCTTCACCTTTTCATCAGACTGTGGAAAAAAAATTTATTACCGGTATGTTCATCTTACTATCCACAAAGAACAATGAATCCCACAGAACTGTTCAGCAAGTGAAGGGAGAGTGAAGTCATAACATCAGATTGTTATCAAGTTCTGTACAATGAAGCAAATAAATTGTTCTTACTTAAAGATAAATACATAAACTACATTACCTATGTGACTCAGTCCTTATTAATAACCAATACTCGAGATACGTTCCAAGAGAGATCGGTTTAAATCGAATTCGCACTAAATCTAAGTACAGGGGTGTATTGTTTCAAGGGAATAATTTAGTTTGATACTTAAGAAAAACACAAAATACTAAAAATACTTTTATTAACTAATAAATATGAGAAAAATATATGGTCTAAGGTGGTCGCACTGGTACCTCACACAGCCTGCCTCTCGTCTGCCTCACTCCATCCCTTCCACTCACCATGCACTTTCACTTTCCTCTCAACTTAGTGTTTCATTACTTTATGCTGGCATCTCCCCCTGCCCTGACTGAGAGTCTACCCATATACACTAGAACTCATAAATCACTACTGTAATGTACTGTAATACAGGTCAACACTCCCCTATCCTTTATTTGAGGTGTGCAATGTCTCCATTCAAATTATTTGCTGTCTTGCAAGGATTACAGCAATGCAAATTATATTCTCCTAACTTCAGTCTGTGACATTTTATAAGATAAAAATTTTAAGCCTAAAACTACCTTCACCCTTGGGAAGTGGAGGTGCTGTGTTGACAGCCAAGCAGGGGGGAGAAGTTGGGGGTGAGGCGAGGTATTCACCAGCCGGCGGGGACATTAATCCTGTGCGTCTTATCTGTCATATGGAGGAGTTTAAGTTTTTCGTTTATAAAATGTCACTGAACTGACCTGGGGGAATATAATTTACATTGTTGAATTCTTGTAAGATAGTGATTAATTTGAAAATACTGTAGACACGCTATAGTTTACACTAGAAATAAAATTTTTAGTAATTATTTAGTACATTTGAGTACAGTACAGAACAGAGTTGGCTTGTGTTTGGGCATTATGAACGAGGATGAGAGAGGTTTAAGAGCACTAAATTGACACACACGAGAGGCAGGTGTTACTCCGACAATACCCACGTGGCAACTGAAGACAGGGAGGTGGGATGGCAAGGAGTGGAGCTTTGGCAGGCTAGCATTTGGGGCACTTATGACTCATTTTAAAAATTTTCAGCTTGAAATTGTAAATTAACCCCCGGGGTATTCCGCACCAGATTTGACTCGCGTAAAATAGGAATGATTCGCTTTAAATTGATACGGTGTCCTTAATTGTGGATGTCGCTTTAAATCAATCATTTTAAATCCATTCGCTTTAAATCGACGTTCAACAAAGGGTTAGGACAGGTTTGAATGGTTTACAAGATCCGTTCCATGTACAGTACACCCGAATAATTCCCGGTCCTCTAATATTCACGGATGACACCCTGGATGTACCCAAGAATGTCTGCGGGAAGTTTTAAAGTTGCCGGCATAACAGGGAGCCATTCGTTCTAGACTCTAGACACAGTAATATCCTTTACCTGTACAGTATTGTTTATATGTGTGTGCATGTAAACACACACATAGTAGTAGTTGTACTGGTAGTGTGTAGACACACAAAACACATACAAATAAATAATACTAATGGGAAAATCTTCTCACAAATAATAAAAAACAAATGTATTCAAAATGTTGGGTCTACCCTCAAGTCCACTCCGTTCTTTGTAGCTAATAAAACAGGGAGTAAACTTGATGGTAGATTTAACATTTTTAATATACAGGCATTTGTTTTTTTTATTATTTGTGAGAGGATCTTCTCATATTATTTATTTGTATGAGTCTACACACACACACATATATATATACAACATAGGTAAACGAAATAATTGTACTAAGGACAAACACATAGAGGGATAATACATTTCTTTGTACACAAGTAAAAATGTAACCCCCCCCCCCCACCACAGTCAGCAAATGTTATTCAAGGATTTGGTGATTCACGCCCATTTTGAGAACCTAACGCCCATGAACAACAGATTTGTACTTTGTATTAAAACAAACATATCAGTTAAAATACTATTACACATCACCCACATACTTCAACGTACTGTTTTCACCTTGTAAATGTTCATACATTAAATGAAGGTTAGGCCAGGGAAGTGTCAGTGTGGACCTGGGATGAATCAATAAACCTTTACTGAGTGAACACAATGATCTGGTTCCCCATGATGTGTCTTCATCCCACAATGTAGGAAAAAAGTCACAAACCTTAACCTAACTTAACATTACTTAGGCTAGTTAAAAGATGTGTTTATACCCCCCGACTTTTTCTAACCCAAATTGTGACTTTCTTTCCAGACACCTGAGCTCATCCCTCCCCCTAAACAGAAGATGTCATCATGTGAGGAACAACTCTCCTAGCACTGAAACTTTGGATGATAAAGTAAATCCTCTCTAGAGGAAGTTAGTTGACTCAATATAAAAACATCTCTAACATAAGCAAGAAAAATCTACCACATCAATATTCAGAGGAGGAAATAACCTCTTGAGATTTAGTAACACGAAGCAAATTTTACAACAAACTTCACAAACTTATCAAAGTCTCGTCCTCAACCATGAGATAAAATAAAGCTTGATCCACAATTAAATAAGTTGAGATTTAAGTGAGACAGTACAAACCCCAGCAGGAACCAAGTTCTCCTTTAATATAAAAACAATTAAATGTGATAAAAAACATAAAGAGTGAGCAAGTCTTAATTAACCTCAATATTCATGTTTAAATAATACACAGAGACAGTGTTACAATCCCTTCCCTCTTACGCAGTTCAATTCTGGTCACCGTATTACAGAATGGATATAGAATCCTTGGAAAGAATTCAGAGGAGAATGACAAGATTAATCCTGGCATTAGGAACCTTGAGTACAGAGACAGGTTAAAGCATCTTAATTTGCACTCCCTCGAGACGTTAAGTGAGGGGCGATATGATCGAGGTGTATAAATAGAAGTCAGGGTTAAACAACGGAGACATTATAAAGGTACTCAAACTATGCAACCAGGAGCGAACTCATAACAATGGTTATAAATTAGACAAAATCAGATTTAAGCGTGAAATAGGTAAACATTGCTTTGGAAATAGAGTAGTAGACGAGCGGAAAGGGTTACCAAACATCGTCATTACCTCGATGACGCTGGATAGCTTCAAACATGGGTTGGATGAATATATGAGCGATAGGGGTTGGGTGTAAATGGGACTGCCCAGTATGGGCCAATAAGCTTGCATCAGTTTCCTCCATTCTTATGTTATTATGAGTAATAACATTTTATTTCCTTACTTTCATCTCTAATAAATTGTCTGAGTGAGATGCTTGCATGATCCAATGTATTTTTATGCCGAGGCATAATTTCATAATACTGTAGGTGTTTTGATTAAACATTGGTATATTACCGGGCCACATAACCTGTTGCACTTTCACATATTGTTTAAGTGAGGTGATTGCAGGCGTATTAACAATGTTTTTATTTTATATTTTCATCTTAGTAAATTGACTTATTATTTTTTTATGATTTCTATCCCAACCAACAGTTATTTTCGTGTATATAATGATGGGAATGAACGCAGTGACGAAACGGGCAGACCCCATTTATATGTATTACGTACAAGAACGCCAAAAAGAAATAACACTGTGTAATACAAACACTCCTATCCAAGAATACGGTAAAGGTGTAGACAATGGCTACCACCAGAAGGAGATGGTATATTTCTTTATTTTTCCTATACAGGGTACAGTATTACCCCGCCTAACGCGGTTTCACTTAACGCGTTTTATCATATACGCGGTGCCTCGCCAGAGCTGAACTTTCACTTAACACGGATTTTTTCCACATATACGCGGTGAGTGTCCGGCTTGAGACACTATTTTTAGATTTGCCCCACCCGCCACCCTGCCTGACTGCCTGTTTTAGCTCATAAAATTCATACAAATTACCCGGCCAGAATATAATTTACATTGCTGGAATTCTTATAATTTGGTGATCATTTTGAATATAAACATCATATATTTTGCATTAGACATACAAATTTTAGATAAAAATTTTCTCAGAGTAACTATGTTATCTTTTGTGCAAAATATATGACATTTATATTCAAAATATTCCTGGTCTTACAAGGAATCCAGCAATGTCAATTATATTATCCTAACTTTAGTTTGAGGTATTATTTATTAAAATTTAGTGGTTATCCCACACATCTCCTTGGGACGGTTGGTGGGGGGTGGGGGGGAGGGAGGGACCGACCGACCATCTGTTACCCCGTGAAGAATTATTTTTTTTTTTATTAACTGAAGATATTTGTTTTAGCTCATAAAATTCATACAAATTACCCGGTCTGAATATAATTTACATTGCTGGAATTCTTATAATTTGATGATCATTTTGAATATAAACATCATATATTTTGCATTAGACATACAAATTTTAGATAAAAATTTTTCTCAAATTAACTATGTTATCTTTTGTGCAAAATATATGACATTTATATTCAAAATATTCCTGGTCTTACAAGGAATCCAGCAATGTCAATTATATTATCCTAACTTTAATCTGAGGTATTATTTAATACTAAATGTTAAAAACTCTGGAAGGGAGGATTGGTGGGGGGTGGGGGGGAGGGTTGGGACTGACCGCGCGGTTGGAAGAGGGGGGGAGGCAAGGTGGGGTACTTTGATTGACAGATAGTGTCGTGAAGATTATTTTTTTTTTTATTAACTGAAGATATTTGTTTTAGCTCATAAAATTCATACAAATTACCCGGTCAGAATATAATTTACATTGCTGGAATTCTTATAATTTGGTGATCATTTTGAATATAAACATCATATATTTTGCATTAAACATACAAATTTTAGATAAAAAATTTTCTCTAGGTAACTATGTTATCTTTTGTGCAAAATATATGACATTTATATTCAAAATATTCCTGGTCTTACAAGGAATCCAGCAATGTCAATTGTATTATCCTAACTTTAGTTTGAGGTATTATTTATTAAAATTTAGTGGTTTTCCCCCAAAAATTTCTCTGAGAGGGAAGAGCCAGGAGTGTAGTGTGAGAGAGGGGGAGGGAGTTGAGTCCATTATTTGAATGGACATTAACTTGGCGACTGTATTTCTCTATTTCTCTTAAGTATTAATTGTGTGCATGTACCATCATAAAATTAAGATGTTATTTTTACTACAACATAGGTATGTGCCTTCAAAAAGTGGAGTTTGGGGGTCGGGCCGGTTTCTATTGGAATTAATCCCATATGTTCTGTTGTTCACTTAACGCGGGACCCTCTGGGTTCAATTGACCGCGTTAAGTGGGGTCTAACTGTACTTATTTTTTTAATGATTTTAAGTATATTAAAATAAACGATAGCTTTCTATTATGATTTTAAGTATTTTTTAAGATTTTTTTCATTTACAGTGGTACCCTTAACGCGGTCAATTGAACCCAGAGGGTCCAGCGTTAAGTGAAAACCACGTTAAGTGAATAACAGAACATATGGGATTAATTCCAATAGAACCCAGCCCGACCCCCAAACTCCACTTTTTGACGACAAATAACTATGTTGTAGTAAACTCTTTATCTTAATTATGATATACATACTTAATACTCAAAAATATGCCAAGTTAATGTCCATTCAAATATACAACCAACTAACAGATGGTCAGTCAGTCCCTCCCTCCCCCCACACCAACGTCCCAAGGAGATGTGTGGGATAACCTCAAACTAAAGTTGGAAAATATAATTGACATTGCTGGATTCATATAGACTCAAGAATATTTGAATATAAATGTCATATTTTCTGAAAGATACTCCTCAAATTAACATTTTATCTAAAAATTGTATGTTTAATCAAAAAATATTGTTATATAAAATAAAATTAGACTAAAAATAATTAAAAAAAAAACACTGCCAATCAACCCCCCCTTGTCATCCCCCTCCCCACCCCACCAATCCTCCATTCAGTATTAAATAATACCTCAGATTAAAGTTAGGATAATATAATTGACATTGCTGGATTCCTTGTAGAACAAGAAATATAAATGTCATATACAGACAAAACATACTTTACATTTTATCTAAAATTTAATGCAAAAAGAAATTCTGAAATTGTATGAACTATAAAACTTCAGTTAAAAAAAATAATTCTTCACCAGGTAACAGATGGTCGGTCGGTTGGTCCCTCCCTCCCCACCCCCCACCAACCGTCCCAAGGAGATGTGTGGGATAACCACTAAATTTTAATAAATAATACCTCAAACTAAAGATTAGGATAATATAATGACATTGCTGGATTCATGTAAGACCAGGAATATTTTGAATATAAATGTCATATTTTGGACAAAAGATAACATACTTACTCAAGATTAAACATTTTATCTAAAATTGTATGTTTAATGCAAAAAATATGTTGTTTATATTCAAAATGATCACCAAATTATAAATTCAGCAATGTAAACTATATTCTGGCTGGGTAATTTGTATGAATTTTATGAGCTAAGACTCACGTTGCTGTGGAAAAATCCGCGTTAAGTGAAAGTTCAGCTTTGGCAAGGCACCGCGTATATGCGAAAACGCGTTAAGTGAAAGCGCGTTAAGCGGGGTAATACTATGCTTATCCCTACGATCATAAATTCCTTGTTAGTGGGCAGGGCACGAAGGACGAGGGAAATTACGGGGTAAAAATGCAGCAAACACTGATGTTATGGCATTAAAATTACGTCTCTAGGTGCATTTGTGACGCCACAAATCATTTTCTTACCTTTCAAGAGTCTTGCAGCACATTTTCTTTAGTTCCGCCATTGTTCGTTGTTGTCAACCTGTATAAATTCAGCACCATTAAACCTGATCCTTTAAATACAATAATTACACAACTTTATTAAATTTACATTACGTAAATACCGGTCTATTGTTCTTTTGTTTAGTTATTAAATGCATTGAGCCTTCTTTTCATGTCATCTATATATAACCAATAAATGATGTAAGTTTGTCATATTTTTACTCTTACAGGATCTTACAGACTGATTCCAGTCTCTTTTAATTGTTTTGAATACAGTTAACAGTCATCACAATTCTCTATTAATTGTCTCTCCTCACATTTATACGTAACTCCAGGAGGGGAGGAGGTACTTCATGTAAAACTGCATCTTTTGAACATAGTGGTGCTACCATGCATAATGTACAGTGGTGTGTTGCACTGTGCATAGTGAAATATCTTTTGTCATGTGACCCTCAACTTATGTAAATATAATAGTTTGTATAATTATGTGTGAGCAGGACTAGTACTTGATACATAATGTTTTTTGCAGCTTAATGTGGGAGTTGTTTAATATTAGTGTTAGGTTTGTAGTTCCCTGGAGTATGGGGCTTTGTCGGTCATTGGCTTTGGAGGTGGAATGACGTTTGAGTTTGTCAGTGGTGGATACCTTTTCAAATAGGGTTTAGTTGAGTATTAAAGTCAGTGCTGCTCTATTATTATTCATGGTGTGTAAAGTGCAGTCAATTATTGTGATGTAAGGTGGATTATTGTTTATACACGGTGCCAATAGTAGTTATTTATTAAGGATCATGTTTATTCTTTATTCTCTTGATTTAATTTATCTTATGGAACCTACACACTAATTATGGTAAACTTTTTTAATTAAATTTTAATTAAATCTTTCGTAATACGTATAATTCCAAAGCTTCACTCCTGAACTGTTGGGGTAAAGAGAGGGCTGTGATTGAACCCATGACTAAGGTGTGATGAGTTGCCAATTTTTGTTGTTGTTGTTGTGCCATATGTGGCCTCATTAATATATTAATCTTTAACGTAATTCAAGTAGATAAGTTATGGCATAACAATGGCGAGTTGCAAAGTTTGTGATTATTCATATCGTGATTTATCAAACCTGGTTCTTGATGAATCTAGCTTGATATCTTTCACTTGTGACCATGGCTTAATTAAGAACACTTGCAAATGTTCCAAATGCGGAAGAGACTTACATATTACAAAAAACATCAACTTTCAATGTAATACACGATCCTACAATTGTGTCCACAGACGCCTGATGTATATAAACCTCAATATTAAAGTCAGTTGTTTAAGGTTTCCATTTCTGGGTTTAATATAATATTATTAGTATTATATTAAACAAAAATACATTTGAAAATTTTGCATAGAACCTGACCTAACAAAGCCTGGGTATATTAGGTCAGGTTCTATTAGGTTCTATGCATTGTAATTTCCATTTTTGTATTTAATATCATGATATTAGTGTGCAGATCCTAATAAAACCTGCCCTAACATACCCAACCTATGGGTATACCCAACCTACGGGTATGTTAAGTCAGGTTTAATATCATGATATTATTGTAGACTAAATTTCAACCACTTCAACAAACTCCTTCTGATGGTAGCCGTTATCTACACCTTTACCATAAACTGTATATATAAGTCATAAATAATTTAAGAAACAGTAAACAACTCACAGTGATAATGACGTAGTGAAGTATTAAACCTTCCAAGTTTGTATTATAATTGTGTTTGGTCGACTTGTTTACGAGTGAGGCGATGAACACTGTTAATAATTTACCACGAACAACACCACTAGTAACTCAACTTTATCTATTATAATAATTATAAACTAATCCCACATAGTTTTAACAATTATTTTTTATTTAATATTATCTGAAAAACAAACTTTCCTCTACTAGATACCCTTTTTTATAATTGTATTACATCTACTTATTATTGTATTAAAGACTGAACACTAAGTAAAAATATACTATCATCAGGTAGTTATAGTAACACTAAGTAATAATAAATTATCATCAGGTAATTATAGTTTGATAAAACTTAATTAGTTGAGGTTAAGCATTAAATAAACTAGTTCGTAGTAATATTATAACACTAATCAGCTCACCATCCACCCCCCGGCACCGAGGAAAGTACTTTATATACTTTCCTTGGGCGATAATTTTACATATCTATTCATTAGTCTCTGTTACGGTACATCTCGGCTATAAAAATTAGTGCTAAGGGTTTACATTAATTTACGAAGATTAAATTTTACAATAGAATCCGTGTTTGAGCTGTACTGCCAAGAGGATAAAAGTAAATATTCTTTTATTATTTCATAACTTGATCTGTGTATTATTTTATTGTTTTATGCACACTTATATTGGGTGATAAAGTATGTTGTTATATCTAGGATGATATTACTGATTGTAAGGACACGTGTTGGTAATATCAATGTTATTTAGTTGTGAGGTTGACGCCCGGGGCTTCTCTCTACTCTCAGCTCTCACTTGAAGTAGTTGTTCAGGGTGTTTTCCTTCTTGCTTCTATCTGAGGTGCACCGGGTGATCCTATGTATGTGGAGGTTCTGGTTGTTGCTGTAAGACTGTTGTTTGCCAGGTTAATAGAGTATTTTGCCCTACGTATTCTTGGATAGGAGTGTTTGTATTACACAGTGCTATTTCTTTTTTTACGTTTTTCTACATAATACATATAAATGGGGTCTGCCCGCTTTGTTACCGGGTTCATTCCCATCATTATATACACGAAAATAACTTGCATGGGATAGAAAATAATCACAAACATAAATAAAAACTAAAAACATTGTTAATACGCCTACAATCATCTCACTGTCAGTTGGTTGAAAATGTTCAAAGGAGGGCCACCAGACTGGTGCCTGCACTTCGGCACCTCAGCTACCCTGAGAGATTGGAGCGCCTCAACTTGCCTAGCTTATACTACAGACGGGCAAGGGGTGACCTAATTGAGGTGTATAAGCATCTCAAGGGATACTACTGAGTCGAGTATCCTTTCTTGGAGCTGGCGAATGCTCGCCCCACAAGGGGTCAAAGCTCAAGATTGAATAAGCCGCAAGTCCAGAAAACTTTGAGGGTGTAGTGGATACTGTAGGGGTATCGAGATATTCATGTTGTCTAGCACTCAGGATGGAAGGAAACTCTAATGTGGTTTTCTTATATAATATAAGTTATATGATAGACAGTCTGGTGCTGGAGGTCTAATGTGGTTTTCTTATATAATATAAGTTATATGATAGACAGTCTGGTGCTGGAGGTGCCGTGTGGTGAGGAGCTGCTCAGTAGAAGACGTTCGGTGAGTAGCGTGTTGAAGGAGGTAGATGTGCAGGAGTTTCGTTAGAGAAGATGTTGCCTGTTGCTGGCCTCCTGATTGAATGAATGCTAACAGCGTGGAGCTTGCTGGAGGAGGTGTTGCTTGTTCAGGAAGATGGGCAGAATGAATCTCAATGGAGAGACAGAGCTTATATACCCAGCAGCAGCCGCCAGTCCTCTATGAATCATGTTGGGAAAACCCAGAAAGTTGCCGGTGACTAGTTTCGTTGCTAAGCAACCGTACCATCTGGCGTCACTATAAGTAATATTTCCCTACAACTGCCGACTGATCACCTGCCGTTCGCTTACCAGCCAATTAGCTTCCAGCCGAATGAATGAATGAAGGGGGGAAAGAGGTTCAGGGGAAGGATTATACTGCCAGACTGGGGGTCACTAATTCTAAAGGGAAATACTTAACTCTAATCTTAATTTCTAAGGGTCGCTGCCACCAGACCCCTCTGGACAGTATGTAACTCGTTCGGTAGCGTGCAGAGTGGACTAGGCATTGGATTAGGTTTTCCATTGACTAGATCGATAAGGGGGAAGAAGGGTGAAACCATAACATGTCTTAATTAATTTATTCCTTATAAAGCATACTGGTAAAAACATACAAATGAACTGGTCTTCCTCAGAAGAACAACGAAAATGTTGGTTACCCAGATGGGCACCAGACGTCTTACATTAATGGCGGGTCATCCACATACTTATAACATAACAATCTGTGACTTCCTTACCTCGGTCATTCCTTCTTACACTATCCCTTAACACATCAGACTGCTCCACCTGTATGGAATATAGCACCGTCGGTTATCATACATAGTAGCACCATCTCAACACATATGTTACACTCCCCCCCTGCAGGTATGGGACTCCTTGTAACTTTTAGGTATACACAACAGGCACCTGGTTCGCACACCGCCCTCGGTGGGTAGAGACGAGGGCTTCACCCAGAGACATACCAGTACTATTTCTACGCCTGGTATTATAGGTCGTTCCAAGTTTCGACCGCAGAGTTTCTCACGGTCTCCTTATTTGTGACTACTCATTTGGAGTGGTGTGCTGGAAATCCACAGGTTCACAGTGGATTGGCATAGCTGGGAGTAGTCACCACCTGTTGGGACGCTCATAGGGATAATGGCTGCCGGGCAGCAAGGCACTCCGACCTCATGGAACCTAAGGTGACGGTAGAACGGAGGGTACTGAGAAATAATGCCTGACGGGCGGTTATCACGCCCCCTAACACATTACTATCACACTTATATATCAGGCAAAGCTTTAAACTGTAACAACTTCTATATAAACCTTAATTATAGGGCGGGATATAGCCCGATAGGACACTGACCTGAGGTGACGGTAGAACGGAGGGTACTGAGGGCAGTGCCCCGCCGCTCCTCACCGCGGAGGCCTACAGTTTCCAATCTTTAATTTTTACTTTTATTTCTTACGGTTCTCACCTGAACACTTTTCGGCATATTGTCACTCATGCCGTATAAACACATATTTTAATCCCAAACTACACTCTAAGGTAAGGTCTTGGTTTGCTAGTTCGTGGGTAAATTCATTGGGTTATAATATCCACGCGCACCCCCGAAGCGGGTACATGACACGCCTCAAAACAAAGGCTGAATGTTCATGGCGGGGGTGTATCAACTTCACTTAAAACTGTAAGGAGGGATCCTCCTCTCACACATTGCACTATTTGAACACAGACATAAGATTCTCTGATCACTGTACCTGTCGTGGGTATATGTCACGTGAGGATACGAGGTGTATTAAGTTCATACCGACGCATAGAAGATATTTCCTTTCAAGTATAGTTTCTGGATCACTTCCAACACCTCACATAGTTCTGATACATTTATCCTTTTTCCAGATCATTGTTGTCATGTATTTTCATATGATATCTGTGGAAGTTATGTTCGCTACACGTTCACAGACGTAAATAGTATGACCTTCAAACCCTGATCCACACCTAGTCCTACAGTACACTAGCCCGGTTCAACTGGACTTTCCCAATCATCTTATGGATACCCTGAATTCTCCTTAATGCTATGAATACATACAATTAACATTATATAACTGTACCTGGGTACAATACAACACATGGTCTAGTAACATTGAGTAGGTGGGTTATCCTTTAACAGTGTTTCCCGTTTTCTGAGATTCTACAAGCGCGGTGGATTTGAATGTTATATAGCGTAATATGAATTAAATGGGGTTTTTAGGAATGACAATGATGTGCGCAGTACAGGATAAAGGGAGGATTGAAGTGAATTTTAGGAGAGAAAAGGTGAAGTGGCTAAACACCGCTTACGTGAAGGGTAGGCAATGTGCTCAGATGGGTGGTTGGTGCTGCAACACACAATCACAATCAGGACAAGGCAGAGGGAGGGGCGGGAGCAGGATCGGGCTATAGGGCCAAGCGTGGGTGGTCTGGTTGTCGTATGAGCTCAGGCTGTGTTGGTGAAGCTGAGGAAGAACCGCCCCGCCACGGCAGCGGCGCAAGCAAAGAAGAGCAGGTGGACGGACGTGTAGTGGACCCCATCCCCTACAAGTGACGACTGAGCTCCCGCGCGCCTACCAGCCAATCAGCGTACAGCATACATACATGCATAAAAGCTAGTGACAGGGGGGAAAGAGGTTCAGGGGAAGTGAATTTTAGAAGGAGAGAATAGGTGCAGTGGCTAAACACCGCTTGCGTGAGGGGGTAGGCAATGTGCCCGGTAGGTGTAACAATCACAATCAGGACGAGGCAGAGGGAGGGCTGGAGCAGGACCGGGCAAGCAAACGGCCAACGCAGGTGCTCTGGTTGTCGTCTCAGCTTAGGCAGTGTTGGCAAAGCGGAGGAAGAGCCGCCCCGCCACGGCGGCGACGCAAGCCGAGAAGCACAGGTGGACGGACGCACAGGCAACACACGATCAAAGTAACAGAGAAGGTGAAAAAATGGAAATTTAGCTAGTCGTAGGGTTGTTTGGAGAAAGATGAAGGTAAAGTCTTTGAGCTATGTCAAAGAGGAACGGAGCGAGTTGGAGGAAGGGTTTTGAATCTTTGAGCTTGAAATGTCAAAGTATTCATAGTAAGGAAGGATGCGCGTATCGTAGGAGAGTTTTTAGTAATAGCAGGAGACAGATTTGAGCTTTTTTGTCAAATTATGAACGGAGACGAGAATGAGATATAGGTTGATTGGTTTCAGCCTTGAGTTAGGTCGATTTTATTGAGATTGGATGTCACAGAGGTTGGGTATGTTTGATTTGGTTCTGGAGAGTTGTAGTATTATGAGAGGCTTTGTCTGGCGGTGGGGTTGTGTTTGGAGATTGGTGTGGGGGGGAGTTTGTATTAGGGGATTGGTTGGGGGTGGTGGTATGTTGATTTGAGCTGAATTAGAATTGCTTAAGGGGTTGTTGTGTGAGTGTATGTGTGTGTGTG